ACAATAATTTGTAAATACCTAGCATATATACAATAAAGACATGCCATGCTGACCTGACTGCGGGTTAAAAAAAAAAATATATTAGTTCTATAGTATGCTCCTTAGATTAAATAACCTGTTTAATTAGTATTGCTTCTTAATTTTCTATCTGTATTTCTATATTTTTAATTTATTGTAAAATTCAAAACTTGAATTATATATTGTAGTGAATTGCCAACCTATTGAATTTCTAAAAAGTATAAATAGTTTCTTTTTTCTAATACTTTTTAATTTTTTAGTTGAGGAAAAAATTGAATTTGTAATAATTATATAGTGATCAGTTATTTAAACATGTTTGAATAAATATCAATATAATTATTAATAAAATTATAGATAAGTTAATATAATATAGAAAGAATTTGTTTGTTTTGAATCCTAATTTTTCTATAATGAGCCTTGATACTTCTGTTAAAATATCTCAATTGACTTTTCATTAATCTATCTCAGTTATTATTTTTTCAGTCTGAAGTTCAATTTAATGTTTAATAAAACTGTGCTTAGTTTTCTGTTAACTTTATAAGTTGTAATTCCGGCTAACATTAGATTTATAATTTCAGTAAAATTAAGATTTGTAATTTCGGCTGACATTAAATTTGTAATTCCGGCTGACATTAGGTCATAATTCTGGTTAACATTAAATCATAATTTCGGTAATATTAAGATTTATAATTTTAGCCGGCATTATGATTTTTTACGATAATTATGAGATGTCACATTGATAATTGTACCCCGTAAACTGAAGATTAGCATACATAGTTAATAGGACTTATTAATAGTTACTTACTATTTTTACTCTTAATAATTAATAATGATTGCTAAAATAGAAAACTCTCTAAAGATTTAACTCTCCTTTGAAAGAATTATATCTTTTTAAATAAATATTATATACTTGAAACTCAGAAACTATTTTCTTTTCTTATTATTTTCTTCAAAAATATAATATATACTGTAGCTGTTTAACAAATAATTTTGAGCAATAGTTAATTTTCAAGATCAATATTTATAGTCAAAGATATAAAGAATATTAGTGCATTATAGTTTGGTTAAATAAAAGTATTGGAATTTCTTAAAATATACAAAAATTAGCTTCAGAAAATCTAATAATACTAGTATTTTATTTTCACAGGTGACTAGGCAAGATACAGTATATCATTCCTGAAAAATAATATTATTATAAAATAGAAAAACTTTTATTGCAAATTGCTTGAGATGTAAATAAGTTCTATTATTAATAACATCAATAAATCAGTTCAAGTTGACTAACTAAAAAAAAAACTATTTTATTTATATTAAACTAAAAGATTTTGATTGTTACTTTAAAATAAAATAAAAAATTGGTATACAATTATTATTTGTATAAAAGTATCAATCGGTATGTAATCAAATCTGTCTATTATAGTTGAGCGTTTGGAACTGCAATCAACTGTATATAGTTAACTTAAATGCAGGTTATTGCATAATGATTATCATTGAAGCATTCACGCGAAACCATTTTTTGAACCCACCAGTAACAATGTCCATAAGCTTAAAGTACGAGATTTTGAAAGATATAGAGGTTAAATTTTATTTCTATTTGATATATTTTTTCTATACATATGTTTTCAATGAATCGAGATTCTTAAAATTTAAGAAAGAGCTATCAAATTAGAACTTGTAGATGAGCTAAGAATTCAGATTAGAGAAATTTGCCAGAACCGAATAAAAAGATTAACAAATGTCATTTTATACTTAATGCTTAAAGTCGCTTTAGTATTTCTAAATTGAAGTAACCTTTTTTTCGAATTACTGATCAAGATACAATTAGTAGAGTGGCACAAGGTGAAAGAGAGAAGGTTGATGCTTTGTAGGTTTTCTCATATAATTACTTTTTTTTCACTAGCTATCATTATTGTCTATAGCAAAAAATGGTTACAATTCAAAGAATGTGGTAGAATTTTCTAAATTCGAAATTAACTATTGAAACTTACTATAATTGTAGAACTTATTATAATTAAAATTGTTGTTTCTATATATATGGTCAACATACTCGTATCAAATACAAGTTAAACCCTACAGTTATCAATTCTAAAAACCAAAATATCTTTTGCTCCAATTTCCTCCAATTTGTCCATAATCTCAGCAACTTCGTCTTTACTAACCATACTCTGTATTTCTACCCACTCTCCATCCTCCAATGGACTAATAGTTGGTGCCTGTCTACCAGGAGTAATCTTTGTGGCCTCCTTAATACCCGCACGTGAAATATTATAATTAAGCAATACGTATTTTTGTGCAGCTATCACACCTTTAATTCGAGCAGCAATTTTTGAGGAAAGCGAAGGATTTGAAGGATTTTTGCTACGAATTAGAATCGCCTGCGTGACAAGAATCGTTGAAAGAGGTTGCAAACCAGCTGCTTTCATTGTTTCTCCAGATTCTAAAATTTTAATGCCAGAAGAGGATTTATTAAATTATGTAAATTATAGTTATTAAAAATATACATACGCTTACCTACTAAATCGACTAATTTTTAACAAATGGTATAAACCGAGAAGCATATCATTAAAATTTTTATATGCAATAATAATAACAAAATGTTATAATGAATAATACTTGCCAATTCCATCCGCTAAACCAAGAGCACACGCAGCTTCAACACTTCCACTTACATATTGAATTCTTGTTTTACATCCGGCTTTCCTTTCTTTCTCGCTCAAATATTTTTCATCCAATTCTCCAAAATATTTCCCAGCCAATGCTTCGAAACTTGTAACAATCCTTTTACCCACCAATTCCTCAACTTTTGTCGCTCCGCCCTTAACAGGTGCTTGAACTTGTAGCTTGCATTTTCCAAACCCTAACTCCAGAATCTCATCAATTTTGTCATTAACTTGTGATTCGAATATCATATCCTGACCAGTAATGCCCATATCAACATTTCCTTCACCAACATACTTCGCTATGTCTGCTGCTGGAAGGAATACAATAGCGATGGGAAGATTTTGGACTAAAGCAATATCAAGTCTATTGTGACGATGAAAATTAATATCGGCACCCCGAAGTAGAGCAATACATTGCTCATGAAGACGACCTTTCTTGGGAACAGCAAAAAGAAGACGGTCAGAAAGATTATTAATTAGGTCCATTATTATATATAAAAATGCAATTGTGCATGTCATATTTATATTAACGTGTCACTCGTAAAACGTAACACGTCATGCCTATCTTTTGAAAATATGAGATATATTTAGTTTCAAGTATTATATTATGCATTAAAATTTACCCGCCAAATATACTGTTGAAGTATCTATTTATTTTTTTTTAATATAGCAAAATCAGTCAAGTTCATTTGAAATTAAAATAGTTTAAAGTGTATTGCAAATAATTTTTTTTTTTTTTTAACCCGCAACCATGCCACATGGTTTAATTTTTATTGAGAAGTTTATGTAACTATCTACAATATTGCAGATTTTTTATGTAGACTAATTTGTCATTGCACTAAAGTACTTTAAGTCAGATTTTGGAAACAATTTTTCACTTCTCTAGAGGATTAGTATAAACCTTTATCCACTTGGTTCATTGTCAACAGTTTGTCACTATTAATTGCTTAAAAATCTTAAAGTATTAAGTTAATAAGGGAGAGAGAAAAAACAAGAAGAAAAAAGAATGCAATTCAAGTTTCTTTAAAAATTTTATCAATTGAACAATCTCTTCTAAAAGAGATTTGCTTAATTAAAATAATATTTCTACTTAAACCTTGGAAAAGATTTTTTTTGTCATCATCTATAATATCAGATAAGTCAATTCAATTAAATTTATCATTTAAGTGAGTATCAAATTTAAATAGCTTAAAAGAAATATAAAGATTTTAGTTTCTAATTAAAAAAATTTTATTACTATCTAAAAGATTTAGTTAAGACTGAAGTTTTGCAATCTATATTTTTTATCTCTTATCTTTTGATATTTAAATATCTTTTTTGAAAACTTGAAACTTTTAAAGAATAATAATTTCTAGAAAATTTTTTTAATTATCACTAATATTACTGAGACATATAGGTAGGGATCACAATTTTTATCCAAATCTGAATGATCCATGGATTTGATTCAAATAGATTAGATCAGATTTTAAATTTTTTGATCTGTTTGTATTTAAATCGGATACGGATTTCAAATTTTGAAATCCAATCCGATCAGATTATAAATTTTGAAACCGATTGGATTTCAAGTTTTAAAATCTAGCTAGGTTCAAATAAAATTTGACAGTTTAACTATATTTAAATATAGCTATTTAAGGTAATTAAAAAAAAAACCAGAATTTTTTTTTTTATATTTCTTTAACACCTTTACATATTTCTTTAAAATTTTGTTATATTTTTTATAATATTTTTTTCTCTATAATATTACTAATATTATTTACATCAAAAAATAAAATGGAATACAATAGTTTTTTCAATGATTCCAATAAAATAAATAATAAAAGTTTCAGTTTAGATAATTATAAATTGAGTAATACTAGTAATGTTGCTACAAATAGTTTTTTGGAGGCATTATCAAGTAATAAAATAAATTATAGAAGTAAAATGTGGAATCATTTTACAAAGGATTCTGATTTCAATAAAGGTAAAAAAGTTTCCTGAAATTATTGTAGCACCAAATATGCCTGTAGTGAAAGTAACACCTTTAATCTTTTTAAACACCTAGAAAAAAACCACTCGATAAAAATAAATTCACATTTTAATAAATTATTAATCGAAAAATTTTTTAATACTATAATGGTTAGTATAAATATATTTATTAAATTTAAAACTATACTAAAATTTATTTTTTATATAATAAATACATGAATCTCAAAAAGTAAAACAAAATCTCATCTGATAGATTGTCATAAACCAATACTCTTTTATGATTGTAGAGGAGTCAGTATTCTATATATTTATCAATTAATCTCACAAAAAATTAAAATATCAGCTGATGCATCTATTAAAATATATATAATGGTTTTGTACTTGGCTAATCAAGAAAAAATTAAAAAAATTTTGTAAGAAGTTGAGAATTGTATTTCATTTATCCTCAATATTTGGACATCAACTTTGATAAAGGTATTTCTAACAATAATTACACATTTATCAGTAGTAATTGAAAAATGCATAATATAACATTAGATTTTGTACAAATCTGGAACATGCATATAGGTAAAAATATCAAAGAAAGTTTTGTATAGTACTTAGAAAAATATATGGTATAAAAGAAGATAAAATTATTTTACATTTAATATATTGTAATTATATATTATAATATATATATATATATATATATATATTAAAGATAATGGGAATAATGACTGACAATAAGATAAAAACTCTTTTTAAAAAACTCTTTCCGCTGATCCTCTGACCACACACAAAAAAGATATTCGCAAGAAGTTTTATACTTCTTTGCTAATA